GATGCCTTTGAGCTGTGGTGCTGGAGAAGAGTGTTGAATATACCATGGACTGCTAGGAGAACAAACAGGTTTGTCTTGGAAAGGGTGAAGCTGGAGTGCTCCTTGGAGTCAAGGATTCCGAAGCTTCTTCTGACATACTTCGGGCATGTTGCAAGGAGGGACTAGTCCTTGGAGAGAGACATAATATTTGGGAGAATGGAGGAACAGTGTAGGAGAGGAAGACCCTCAATGAGATGGATTGATTCTGTGAGTGGAGTGGTGGCAATGAGTGTGTTTGAGATGGTGAGGTTTGCACAGGATAGAGCAGCATTTAGGGATACGCATCTTTCTTCCTAGTGGATTCAAACCACATGCCTTTGGTATGGCAAGTGCAATCGCTTACCACCAGGCCACCAAAGCAGTCATAATAGGGAAAACTTAAATGTAATTTAACTAATGCATGGCTTCCAACTGAAAGGTTGGAGGGTTGAATCCATCCAGAGGTGCCTGGGAAGAGAAGTCTGGCAATCTACTTCTAACACATCTGTCATTGAACACTATATGCAGCATAGCTTTACTCTGACATCTATGAGGCTACAATGAGTCAGAGTCCACTTGGTGGTAACTGGCTGATAAGGAAAAATGTGGCAGGTCATCATGTATCTCATCGCAGATCTTCCTCATAAACTAGTAATGCAGATATTACCATTCTTGTTTCACAGATAAGAAAATTGAAGCTAAGAAAGTTTAGTGTGCATCTCAGAGTCTGAGGGACGTTGCGTGATAGAGCCAGATGTGACATGAAGGCAAACATCTCCAACTCCACACCCACACATTCTACACTACAATCACCTCCTCTCACTCACGAAGGAAACAGTATACAGGTGACACCAAGTTATGATGGGGCTCCACTCCAACAACTTAATTACAAGCCAGTTGTTATATTTGTGAGATGCCTCTTCTCATTTCTACTTTCATTATTATTGCCCTTTATTGTTGTTGTTGTTGTTGTCATTATATGCAGTCAAGCTCCCTGCAACCCATAGTGACCCTCTGTACAACAGCCCTAAACCCTGCTCTCTCCTTTGCCAATCACACTGCCTCTGACACACTCATCCCGAATACCCCAGTCACTGAATCAATCCACCCCATAGAGGGTCTTCCCCTCCTGCGCTGTCCCTTCACCCTACCAAGCATGATGTCCCTCTCTAAGGACTTGTCCCTCCTTATAACATGTCCAAAGTATGTCAGACGAAGACCAGAATCTTTGCTTCCAAGGAGCAGCCTGGTTTAGCCTTCTCCAGATGAATCTGTTTGTTTTCCTAGCAGTCCATGGTACATTCAATACTCTTCTCCAGCACCACAGCTCAAAGGTATCAATTCTCCTTCTGTCCTTCTCAGTCACTGTCCAACTCTCTGATGCATAGCAAGTGATTGCAAAGACCATAGCCTGTATCAGATGCATCTTAGTCTCCAGAGTGACACCATTGCTCTACTTTGGAGAGGTCCCTAACAGCAGACTTTTGCATCACAATATGTTTTTTTGGTTTTCTGGATACTGGTGCCAAGAGTGTTGACCATGGAGCCAAACAGACTAAAGTTGTTAACAATCTCAATCTCTTCACCATCCATCCTGATGCTGCCAATCTGTCCAGTGGTGCAAATCTTTGTCTACTTGATATTGAGCCTCAATCCATACTGAAGGCTGCAGTCCTCGACCCTTCGCAGCAAGTGTATGAGGTCCTCCTCAGTTTCGGCAAGCAGGGTTGTGTCATCTGCATAACGCAGATTGTTAATAGATCTCCCACCAATCCTGATGCCACACTTCTCATAAAGCCCAGTCTCTTGGATAATCTCTTCTGCATATAGGTTGAAAAGGTATGGAGATAGGACACATCCCTGGTGTACACCTTTCCCAATTTTGAACCATGCAGTGTTTCCCTGCTCTGTTCTGACGGCTGCCTCTTGGTCCAAGTATAAGTTTCACATTAGCACAATCAAGTGTTCTGGGATTCCCATTCTTCTCAGAGTCACCCACAGTTTCTTATGATCCACACAGTCAAATGCCTTTGCATAATCAATGAAACACAGATAGACATTCTTCTGGTATTCCCTGCTTTCAGCTAAGATCCATCTAACATTAGCTACGATATCCCTAGTACCATGACCCCTTCTAAACCCAGCCTGGACTTCTGGCAGTTCTCTGCTGATGTGCTGTTCCAGTTGTTTTTGGATAATCTTCAGTAGAATCTTGCTTGCATGTGAAATCAATGATACTGTTCTATAGTTTCCACACTCTGTTGGGTCACCCTTCTTTGGAATGGGAACAAATATAGATCTCTTCCTGTCAGTTGGGCAAGAGGTTGTTCTCCATATTTCTTGGCACAACTTGGTGAGCACATCCAGGGCAGCATCTGTTAGCTGAAAAACATTAATTGGTATACCATCTATTCCTGGGGCCTTATTTTTTGCTAGTTCCTTCAAAGCAGCTTGAACTTCTTCCTTCGTCACCATAGGCTCTTGCTCATATGTTGTTTCATGAAATTCTTCTGTGTCTGCCCTTTATTACTAGTATCTTTATAAATTCAGTCTTTGTCTTTGAAAGCTATCTGCATTACATAAAAATATGCATTTATATTTTATGTGACTGGAAGAGATCTGTATTTGTTCCCATTCCAATGAAAGGTGATCCAACAGAGTGTAGAAATTATCAAACAGTATCACTGATATCATATGCAAGCAATATTCTGGTGAAGATCATCCAAAAACAACTGGAATAGCACATCAGAGAACTGCTTGAAGTGCAGCATTTAGAAGAGGCCCTGGTACTAGGGGTATTATAGCTAATGTCAGATGGATCTTGATTGAAAGTAGAGAGTACCTGAGGAATGTCTATCTGTGTTTCATTAACTGTTCAAAGGCATTTGACTGTGTAGATCACAACAAAGTATGGCTGACTCTGAGAAGAATGGGAATCTCAGGACACTTGATTGTGCTTATGCAAAACCTATACTTGCACCTATACTTGGAAACAGGAGTGGCATCTATTTCCTAAATAACATGCTTCTGGAAACTCTATGAACTTTGATAAATGTTGATAGTTGTAGAGGGGCTTCAGGCCTTTTGTTCATAGGGTTGCTATTAGTCATGTTCGACTAACAGGCAATCAACAACAGCACAACATACTTGGACCAGGAGACAATCGTCAGAACTGAGTAAGGAAACACTGCATGGTTCAAAATGGCAAAGGATATGAGCCAAGGATGTGTCTTTTCAATCTATATGCAGAACAGATTATCTGGGAGGCTGGGCTCTATGAGGAGAACTGTGGCATCAGAATAAGAGGTAGACTTATCAACAATCTGTGTTATGCAGATTCCACAACCCTACTTGTTGAAACTAAGGAGGACCTGAAGTGTTAGCTATAGAAGATCAAGGACTGCAGCTTTCAATATGGATTGAAACTCAACATCAAGAAAACAGATTCTCACCACTGGGTTGATTGGCAGCATCATGATAGATGGGGAAGAGATTAAAATTGTTAACAACTTCAGTTTGCTTGGCTCTACAGTCAACACTCTTGGTACCAGCAAGGAGGAAATTAACAGACAAATTGTATTGGGACATTCTGCTGTCAGAAACCTCTCAAGAATACTGAAGAGTAACATTGTCAGTCTGGAGACTAAGGTATACCTGATACAGGCCATGGTCTTTCTAATTACTTGTTATACGTCAGAGAACTGGACAATGACTAGGGATGATAGGAGAATTGACGCCTTTGAATTTTGGTGCTGGAGAAGAGTACTGAATATACCACGGACTGCTAGGAAAACAAATGGGTTTATCCTGGGGCTTGTGAAGACAGCCTGCTGTGTGGACGCAACAATTCTGAAGCTTCATCTGGCATACTTTGGACATGTTGTAAGGCGAGATCAGTCCTTGCAGAGAGATGTCATGTTTGGAAGGGTGGAAGGACAGTACAGGAGAGGAAGACCCTTGATGAAATGGATTGATTCAATGACTGGGATAATGGGAGTAGGTGTGTCAGAAACAGTAAGATTGGCACAGGATAGAGAGGGGCTTAGGGCTGTTGTACGTAGGGTCACTATGAGTCACAGGTGACTCAATGGTATGTAACAATAACAAAGCATGCACATAATAAGATGTAGAGGGAAATTAAGAAAACCATAAGTGTAGTTTATCATAACTTGGATATATTAAAAATCATAGCACCTGCATATACAAACACTCACATAGTACCTAACTTACAGTAAATATTCTTTGTTAAACCTGCTATATGGCATCTGATGTTTCAAAGTAATGGGCTAGTGGTTATATAACCTAAACATTCCTCTCTCTTTATCTGTCATGACCCTGGAGTTGGAACCCACTCATAGCTGACCCTCCAATGAGACTGCAAGTCACACAGGAGGAGTAAGCAATCTCCTCAAAGGTGATTTGCATCCTCTGACAACCTGTTGGAGGGTCAGCTATCAGGCAATTCCAATTCAATGGCAAAGAACAACAATAAACATCTAGAAAGAGCACTAGTGAAGCAGCATCATGGTTAAGCACTTGACTGCTAAATCAAAGGTTGGCAGTTCAAATCCCACAGTGACTCCGGAAGACTGTGATGGACCGTGATTGTCTCTCATAAAGATTACAACCAAGAAAACTCTCAGGGACAGTGCTCTGCTGTCACCTGACGTTGATACGAGTTGGAATTGATTGGATGGCACATAGCAATAACAAAAGCATCTAACAGATGCCGTGAATTGTAAGCAATTTTTTTAAAAATGAAGAATCAAAAATATGAATAAAAGAAAAGGACTCAGTACTCACAGCAATTGGTTTCATCCGACTTATCCACACAGTCTTGGTCACCATCACACACCCACTCAATTGTGATGCATCGGCCATCTCCACAGCGATGTTCCTTTGTGGGGTTGCAATCTGGCGGAACAAGCATTTCATGAAGTTGTCAAGAACCAGCTTCATACGCACTTCTAACTACACAGCTTGCAGTCCACTTGCAGAGAGAGCTATCCAGGAAGCTCTGGTGGCCTAGTAGGAAGAAGATATGCTGCAATCCCAAAGGTACATAGCTTGAATCCACACTCTCCTTCCATGCAGTTTTCTGCTTCTGAAAACCCACTGGATGGTCAGCTATGGGTCGGTTCCAACTCAATAGTACAACAACATCCAGAAGGCAGTGTGTCTCCAGTGGTTCAAATCTACCAGTGGCTCCACGGGAGAAGGCTGACCAATGAATGTCCTCTTGTTAAGACATACAGTCTCAGAAACCTGATGGTGGGTCACTGTGAGTCGGAATCAACTAAATAATGTGGGGTGATCTATCCACCCACTAAATGGCACTCACCTCCTGCCATGTCCCTCTTGTATACAGTGTGTACATGGTGTATACATTCATCAGAGTCTGGGTGGATAGTGCATTACCTGTTGTCTATTCATCTGAAAGGTCAGTGGTTTGAATGCACCAGCTTCTATGATGCAGAAAGATGATCAGTTTCCTCCCATAAATATTTACAGACTTTCAAACACAGCAGATGATTGCTGTGACTTAAAACGGACTCGGCAGCAGTGGGCTATACATTCACCAGTTCCTGCTTACATTGTAGAGATCCCAAAAGAGTCCACATGGTAGCCTTATAGGATGACTTTACATCTGACTTCATTTATATGAAGGCAATCAAGAGTAATTGGACATGCACTCCAGTAAATGCCCTGTTTCCCCAACATGGGAACCATGGCTGACCCTGGTCACTTTCTTTCCCAAAGATACTACCTATATTTTCTAATGCTCAAGACAAACAATCACAAAGGCTTTTCCCACTGCCCATCCTCATCCTAGCTTGCTTTTTTGTTCTTACTCAAAGGTTCTTATATCACTCATTAAAATAGAGCTTAAACATTCTAAAACCATTCACATAGTCATGTTAAAAAGCATAAAGGATATGGCTGTGACGATGCTCAGAATGAAATACAACTCTAAAAGCTGGACCCACTCTTAAAATCCTATAACAATGAGTATTTGTACATAAGGGCTTAGTCCTAACTCTAGTTGTAGCAATGACTCTATACATAGCTCTTGTCATTGGTCTTAGTTGCTGTTAAGTCAGTTCTGACTCCTAGGACTACATATAGAACTTGACCATAGGATTTTCGAGTTTGTGACCTTTCAGATACAGATTGACAAGGTTTTCTCCTGAGATGCATCTGGGTGGGTTCCAACTGCCAACCTTTTGGCTGGTGTTTAAGAGCTTAACTGCATACATCATTCTGAGACTTTGGTCTCTAAGGTGCATGTAAACCAAAAAAATAAAGGTCATTGGTTATATATATATATTTGTGTGTGTGTGTGTGTGTTATTGTTGTTGATTGCCTTTGAGTCAAGCACGACTCATGGTGACCCTATGATCAAAAGGCCTGAAAGCCTCTCTACAACCATCGACATTTATCAGTTCATAGAGTTTCCAGAGGTGTGATATTTAGGAAGTGCATGCCACGCCTGCTTCTCAAGCACAGACAATATAATGATCTGCAAAATCTTGCCCATGTGCTCCAAATGAAAACATAAGTCATTGACACTAATCCAAGGAAAAAAAAGCTTACAAAAAGAAAAAATACTAACATAAACACTTACTTCACTTTTTAAAACTCAGACTCCAAAAGACTCTATTAGTGAAATGAAGCATAGAAAACCAGGGGGGGAAAACTGTAAAACATCTTCTCCTCCAGTTCATGAATATATTCTTAGTACACCGCCTTACAAAATGTGTTTACATTTTCATGTAAGTTATGATAGACTAGGGCTTTAAAAGACTCTTCCTTCTATAAAAGCAGGGAGGAGATGTTTTGTAACTTATTTTTCTGTTTTAAAAAACTTTTCATTTTGATTTTAACAAAAGTTTATAGACCCTAACAATAACAAGAACTATATGCATGGCACTAGCTATAACTCGTTTAGAGCAATCCTTTGTTTGATGTACAAATGCTCACCTCCAAAGGTTTTTAAGAAGAACCCACTTTTTAAGAGAACACTCTTGGTACCAGCATCCAGGAAATCAAAGACAAATTGCACAAGGAAAGCCGGCTGTCAAGGACCTCTCCAGAGTACTGAAGAACAACGATATGAGTCTAGAGACTAAGGTATGCTTGACCCAGGCCATGGTCTTTTTGCAATTGCATGCTATGCATCAGAAAGCTAGACAATGACCTCGGAAGATATAAGAATTGTAACCTTTGGGCGATGGTGCTGGAGAAGAGTATTGAATATACCATAGACTGCCAGGAGAACAAACAGGTTCATCTTAGAGAGGGAGAAACCAGACTGCTCCTTGGAGGCAAGGATTCTGAAGCTTTGTCTGACATACTTTGGGCATGTTGCAAGGAGGAACCAGTCCTTGCAGAAGCACATTATGCTTGGGAAGTTGAGGGACAGTGCAAGAGAGGAAGATCATCAATGAGATGGATTGATTTAGTGACAGGGGTAATGGGATTAGGTATGTCAGAGACAATAAGGCTGGCACAGGATAGAGCAGGGTTTAGAGCTGTTGTACCTAGGGTTGTTATGAATCACATAACAATCACATAACTCATTCTGAGTGTCACCACAGCCATATTCTTGATCCTTTTAAACTTTATGACTTTGAGATTGGTTTTAGAATGGAAGAAAAAAGGAGAGAGGAAAGTGTGCATCCATGAGTAAATAAAAACCCAACGCTTCTGCTTTATAACTTAATCTGATAATCATATGAACAAGCAACGAATGACAAGTTATTGGCCATAAAGTGTTCTGTAAGTTTGAACTAAAATCTTTAGGGAAATAGGACTTGTACTTACCACAATTTTGCTCATCACTCAGGTCACCACAGTCATCATAGCCGTCACACACCAGGCTGTAATTAAGGCACTTGCCTGTGTTACAGTGGAAAAGGTTATCACTGCAGTCTGCAAATAAAACAAGTCACCAGCATGTCATTAGAGTGAGACAGAATGTTATTGCACCTAACTTAGCAATAGCATATCAAGGATGGAAGCAGTAAAGGTCACAAAGCCCACAACTTTATTGTCCAGCAGGTCACTTGCTCAATGTCACATAAATAGTTATGACATAATAGACTGTTAATAGACATAATAAGCAGTTGAGACATATTGACACAGTGACTTCAGCAGTGGTCGGAGATGAGGAAGATAACAACACATGATAGGACAGTATTCATATCTGTTGTTTATAGGGTCACTATGAGCCATTCTTGCTAAGCATCTGAGAGCTGGACAGTGGATAACGATGACAGAGAAGAATTGATGCCTTTGAGCTGTGGTTTTTCAGAGACAGATAATTGCACAGGAAAAGACTGCCCAACTGGCTCCCATGGAGCAGCTGTGGGATGTGAACCATGTACCGCTGGTGCGCCAGAGTAATTCCTTACCACTAGGCCACCAGAGCATCCTACAAAATAAGACTAGGACATATATCTATAGATATAAAGCTGTTGTGTGTCACTCTGTTGGAAATGACACATAGCTGACCCTCCAGGGGGTTTTTCAGAGGTAGTAAGTAAGTGGCACAGGAGAAGACTGGCCATCCTTCTCTCACAGAGCAGCTGGTGGATTCGAACTACGTACTTTTGAGATTACAGCACTGCTTGTTACCATTTGTTACTGCTGTTTTGTGCCATTAAGTCTGAACTGATCCATAGGTTACCCTCCAGTGGGTTTTCAGAGGCAGTTAACTGTATGGGAGGAGATTGTCCATCTGTCTTCCACAGGCATACACACACAGATAAACATAGATATGTAGATACAAATAGACATAGATATAGAGCCATATCTATAGGTACACACACACACACACACACTCTGACACTTAGGCACATGTGGAAGTTTGTAAGCAGTTTTCTTTCCCCTTAGGCTTAATCATTTTCCAATGAAGATAGGTATGTTTCTCTAGTGGCTTAGTCTGTTGGGTGTTGTGCTGCTAACCAAAAGACTCTGTGTCTCTAGTGGTTCAAATCCACCAGCAGCTCTGAGAGAGAAAGATGGACAGTCTCCTCTCATTAAGATTTGGAGCCTCAAAACCCAGATGGTCTTTATGATTCAGAATTTATTCTAAGGCAGTGGATGTATCACTTTGACAGCACGATTTTCTCCCATCAGTAGAGGGCGCACACTCCCCATCCTCACCCCACAGTGGAACACAACTACTATAGCACAAGGCTAACTTGATATTATTGAAAGTCTACAGAAATGTGTTCTCTTATCACTGAACAGAGTTGAGGAATTTGTGTATCAAAATATTACTTATCGTTGAGAAATTTTAAAAATCCATTTCTTATTTTCATTTTGTTTCAATCTAAATTACTCTCGAAGGAAATTGTTCATACAAGAAGATCAACTGTAACCAGTGGGATAAAAAAAATAAAGCAGGGTTTTTTCTCTAAGTTAATGTTACTAATGCTATTATTTTTTTTAGTAGTACTTCGTAGGGCTGGAGAATCAAGCACTCTTCAAAATCAACTTAACATAGATATCAGGTTATTATTGTTAGTTGCTGTGGAGTTGAGAATGACTCATGGTGTTAAGTGTCGTCGAGTCAAGTACAATTCATAACGACCTTATGAACAACAGATCTGACCCTTGTCCTATCATGTGCTGTCTTCACACTTCCTGACACACTAGAATCCATTGTGGTGGTCACTGTCAGGGCACCTGATCGAGAGTCTTCCTCTCCTTTGCAGACCCTCCACCCTTCTAAGCATTATGTACCTCTTAAAGGAATAGCCTCTCCTAGTAACATGCCCAAATTATGTGCGGCAAAGCCTCATCATTCTTGCCTCCAAGGAGCACTCCAACTGCACCCTCTCCAAAACATATTTGTTCTTTTTGCTGTCCATCTGATGTTAAATGCTCTTCTTCAACACCATAGCTCAAAGACATCAATTCTTCTCTGTCATCCTTATTCATTGTCCAGCTCTCAGATGCATAGCAAGAATGACTCATAGTGACCCTATAAACAACAGAGAGGACTCTGTCCTATCAGGTGTCATCCTTCTCATCTCTGACCACTTGAGCCCACTGCTGAAGTCACTGTGTCAATTTATCTCATTAAGGGTCTTTCTCTCCTTCACTGACCTTCTCACGTTTCAAGCATGATGCCACTTTCCAAGGAATGTCATCTCCTAGCACTATCCCCAAAAGAAGGGAGATGAAGTTTTATCATTTTTCCTCTGAGAAGTACTCTGTCTGCACTTTTCCAGACACATCTGTTTGTTCTTTTGGTAGTCCATGGGTTATTCAATACTCTTCTCCAACACTACAACTCAAAAGCATCAATTCTTTTTCTGTCATCTTTATTCATTATCCAGCTCTTAGACATATACCAACTGAGTAAAAAAAAGCAATGACCTGTATCAGGCACATCTTCAAAGTACAATACATTTCCTGGTCTCCTGACTTCTGGTACCAAGTGTATTGATTATGGATCGAAGCAAGATGAAACTATTGACAATTTCAATCTTTTCTCCATGTATCATGATGTTGCTTACTGGTCCAGATATGAGGACTTTTGTCTTCTTGATGTAGAGGTCTGTGATCTTTGATTTTCGGTAGTAAATGTTTCAAGCTCTACTCACTTTTGACAAGGAAGGTTGTGTCATCTGCATAATACAAGTTGTTCATAAGCCTTCCTCTGATCCTGAACCCACCTTTTTCTTCATATATTTCAGCTTCTCAAATGATTTGCTCAGCATACCAACTGCATAGGTATGGAAAGAGGATATAGCCCTGATGCACATCTTACCTAATGTTAAACCATGTTAAATAAAACCTTGCTCTGCTTGCACAACAGCTTCTTGGTCTGGGTACAGGTTTCATATGAGCATAATTAAGTGTTCTGGGTTTCCTATTATTCCCTATGATAGCCATAGTTTATAATAATCCACGCTGGCAAACGCTTTTGCATAGTCAATAAAACACAGCTATTCTTCTGGTATTCTTTGCTTTCAGACAGGATCCATTTGACATTAGCAGTGATGTCTCTGGTACCATCACCTATTTTAAAGTCCATTTGAACTTCTGGCATTTTCCTGTCAATGTAGTATCCTAACAACTTTTGGATGATCTATAGTGATATTTTGCTTGCATGTGATGTTAACAATATTGTTCAAGAAATTAAACATTCTGTTGAATTGCCCTTGTTGGGAATGGGAACATATACAGATCTCTTCCAGTCAGTCAACCAGAACAACTGACATCCAAATTTCCTGGCACAGACTGATGAGCATGTCCAGAGCTGCATCTCACATTTGAAACATGTCAAGTTGGTATTCCTTTAATTCCTAGGGCCTTATTTTTTGCCAGTGCCTTTAGTGTAGCTTGGAATTTTCCCTTCATTATTATTAGCTCTTGTTTATATGATACTTTCTGAAATATTTCATTGCCAATCAATTCTTTTTCCTACAGTGACCCTTTGTATTCCTTCCATTTTTTTGATGCTTCCTGAATATTCAATATTTTGCCCACACTATTTCTCAGTATTAAAACTTGAGGCTTAGGTAAGCTCTGGTGGCCTAGTGGCAAGGAGCTGCAACTACAATCCCAGAGCCGCATGGTTCGAATCCACCAGATGCTCTGCCGGGGAAGGAGGGACAATCTCCTCCTGTACCAGTCAGATCTGATTTGACGGTACACTCACACACACACAAAAAATAATAAAATTTTTAAAAAAATTAAAAATTAAAAAAAAACACACAAAAAAACTTGAGGCTTGAAATTGTTTTTCAGTTCTTTCAACTTTATAAATACTGAGTGAGATCTTCCCTTTTCATTCTCCAATTTCAGCTCTTTGCATGTTCTGTTATAATTGCTTTGTCTTTTCAAGCTGCCCTTTTAAATCTACTGTTCATTTCTTTTACTTCAGCATTCCTTTCTTTTGTTTTAGCTTCTTAAAGCTCTAGTGCTAATTTTCAGAGGCTCTTCTGACATACACTTGGTCTCTTCTTCCTCTTCTTTGTAACAAGCTTTTGCTCTCTTCATGGATATTGTCTTTGATGTCATTTCAAAACTCATCTGGTCTTCGATCATTAGTGTGCAACACCTCAAATCTATTCTGGAGCAGATTTTTAAATTAACATAGAATAAACTCAAGATCACATTTAGGTTCTTATGGACTTGTTTTAATTGTTTTCAGCTCTACTAGTAAAGTGGAAGATCAGTGAGAGGGAGCAGGCTTCTCAATGAGAAGGAATGATGCAGCGCTTGCATCTCTGGGCTCCAACACAACAATTGTGAGGATGAGTTGGGGCCAGGCAGTGTTTCGTTCCATTGTACACACAGTCCCCGTAAGGTGGAACTGAATCTACAGCACCTAACAAGACTGGGGAAACAAATGTCCCTTTCAGAACCCAATGATCCCAAGAACACACGAAAATATCCAAAAGATTCCAGGCAATACACATTAAATCACTTTGCTGGGAAATAGTTTTAAAACTGCTGTTATTCACTCAATTACTTCATAAATTATTGAGGCTGACTCAGGCATTTAAGAAAATTCCTCATTATTCACACAGGTACAGGCTCAACTTTTCACTGGTAGGACTTATTTGACTTGAAGCCAGTTCGAGAGGTCAGATACAAAATTAGCTGCATTTGGAAAACAACTCATTACCTCACCAAGACCTGCGTGATCAGTAAATATACAAAACCTTAACCAGAGGCACAACAGAGCCAAAAAAGACCTAGTAAATAGCAAAGATCACAGTGCTTCCTTTTATCAGGAAAAATGTTTACCTGAGCTTAAAAGAGATGTTGTTGCTGCAATTTGAGGCCCCCCAAAAAAAAAATCAAAATTTTCAAATGCTTCCTGCTATGATTTTCTTATTTATTTGACATATAATTTTGCATGACCTAAGGTAGTTAGACCTTTCTAAATACATATCTTTGTAAATACG